AAGATAGCTAAAGTCATCACCATTCGGAAACCTGTGAAGGATCCTTCCTTTCCTTCAAGTTAACGACCCATCAGTCTTCTCTCAGGGTTATCCAAGCTGTTCGAAAGGACAGTCTATCATCGGCTACTAACATCTGTCGAAAATCTCAACTTGTTACTCGAGGAACAGTTTGGCTTCCGGAAAGGTCGCTCCACCGTCCACCAGCTGACTCGAGTGTTAAACATTCTCCGACGGAACAAGACTGTTCGGAAAACTTCTGTCATGGCATTGTTGGACGTTGAAAAAACGTTCGACAATGTTTGGCACGATGGCCTGTTATGTAAATTGCAGCAGCACGGTCTTCCAATCTTCCTCGTGAAGATTGTAACTCTCGCTCGCCGTACTACAAACGACTGTTCAATTTTGCGAGTCGTAGTTATCGAAATTACAATCGTTTTCTCTTTAATCGACACGTGACACGCACGGAAGCGAACCTTCGCACGAATCCGAAAAGTTTTTGGTCGTTTGTCAAGGAAGGAATCCAGGTTGCCTTGTTCCATGTTTCTCGGGAATGACTCGGCTAATAGTGAAAGAGAAAAATGCGACTTGTTAGTTAGTCATTTCAAGCAAGTGTTCAACGATTTCTCCGCTTCGCCAACACAAGTGCTGGATGCTGCTGTTGGGATGCCACGTGATGTGTTTAGTTTCGTTATTCCGCGCATTTCAGGAGACATGGTGATAGCCGCAACACGCAAACTGAAGCTCTCGTTCGTCTCCGGACCTGACGGCATTCCGTCATCAGTTCTAAAACGTTGTGTAGCCAATCTCTGCCTTCCACTTGCGAGGCTATTCGATCTCTCGGCACAGCAATGTGAGTTCCCCTGCCGCTGGAAACTTTCTTATCTGTTCCCAGTGCACAAAAAGGAGATAAACGGAATATCATAAATTATCGTGGAATCACCTCCCTGTGTGCCTGCTCAAAACTGTTCGAGATTATCATAAATGGTGCTCTGTTCGCACGCTGCAAAAATTATATCGATACAGAACAACACGGTTTCTACCCGAAGCGCTCCGTGTCCACGAACCTGGTGCAGTTCACTTCTAACTGTCTGCGATGCATGGATTCAGGATGGCAAGTCGATACTGCGTATATGGATCTAAAAGCTGCATTTGACACGGTGGACCATAATATCTTGCTGGCCAAGCTGGAAATACTTGGCATCTCGTCAACTGCTGTGGATTGCTTCAGATCTTACTTGGTGATCTGGTGTACTATGTACATGTCAAGATTGGCGCGTCGGAATCGGATGTTTTCTCAAGCAACTCGGGAGTCCCGCAAGGCAGTAACCTAGGACCGCTACTATTTTCGATCTTTTTAAACGATGTCGCCTTGCTGATACCATCAGGATGCCGCGTTTTCTATGCAGACGATACGAAAATCTACAAAATTATTAAAAGCCTCTCGGGCTGCTGGGATCTCCAAAATATGTTAGGTATTTTTGCTGACTGGTGCTTTTTTGATGAGAAATTTGATGAGTCTAATAGTACGTTCAGACTACAGAGTTATAACATGTTATAGCGCTATCTTGATGGTGGTTTCTGTGTTGCAATTATTTGACAACCGTTATAACATGTTATAACTCTCCAGTCTGGACAGCGTTTAAGCATAGAAAAATGTAACATTATTTCCTATCACCGAAGAATCGAACCAATCATGTTTGACTATGTTCTCTACGGACGCTGTCTTGCTCGTGTAGAGCACATAAAGGATCTCGGCGTTACCTTGGACTGCAGACTCACTTTCAGAATCCACTACAATGACATCATCTCCAGAGCTAATCGACAATTGGGCTTTATTTTCAAAATTGCCGACGAGTTTCGTGACCCGCTATGTCTCAGGTCACTTTACTGCTCGCTTGTGCGATCCTTATTGGAGTCAAGTTCAGTTGTTTGGTGCCCTTTCCATGCTAGCTGGATCACTAGAATTGAATCCGTTCAACGCAAGTTTGTGAGATATGCTCTTCGTTTCCTCAACTGGCGTGACCCAACGAACTTGCCACTGTACGAGGAGCGTTGCCGTCTCCTGGGAATCGAGCCATTAGAGGTGAGACGGACGGTCGCTCAAGCTATGTTCGCTGGAAAGCTGCTTACAGGTGACATTGACTGCCCAACACTGCTGTCACAGCTAAATATGTATGCCCCTGAGAGGTCTCTTCGTCAACGCGACTTTCTGTTTTTGGAACCACGGAGCCGGAATTATACACAACACGAGCCAATTCGAGCAATCAGCCGGCAATTCAACAACTTTTTTTATATGTTCGACTTCAATGTATCAGCTGACGTGTTTCGTCATCGGCTACTTGGCCTTTTCCGTACCGTTGACCGTAACTATTTAGTTTAAGTTTTATTCATTTAGACAGTAATTGTCAGTTGAATTTTTCAATAAACAATAAACAAACAAGATAATCCAAAATTATCTATCGGACAGGACGTTCCGAGTGTCTCTGAATGGAATTTCATCGGTTGCATTCAACATCGGTGCCGGGGTTCCACAAGGAAGTATTCTTGGTCCCATTCTTTTCAACCTGTTCACCTCCGATATGCGCCGATATGCCGGCTCTTCCATAGAGGTAACTCTAAGCCTAGGAGGTCCCGAAGAAACGTGCTCAACTTTTAGGCTCAATTCTGGTACCATAGAGGTAACTCTAAGACTAGAAGGTCCCGAAATAACGTGCTCAACTTTTTGGCTCAGCTCTGGTACTCTCTTCGGTCCCAAGCTAATCGATTCACCCCTCGAAACATAGGAAAATCCACTAACCCCTCTTGTATATGTCAAACTTTCATAGCGAATCAAAACAAACATTGTGTAGTAGTAGAAATTCGGCTAGAATGAGGTACGTTAAAGGCCCAAACGCAATGTGGACGGAAGCGGAACGGAAACGGAAAGTTTGACAGTTGTCACAAATGACATCAAGGTGGCTAACCGAAGTCGATTTGGTTCCAACAAGTTTTCAATCCGACAAGTTGGCTTACTCAGATCGGGCTTTTCCGCTGCCGTTGCCGTTCCGCTTCCGCTGTCATTGCGCTTGGGCCTTAATCGTTTGCTTGGGACCAATAGCCTAGTCAAGTAGTGAGCCAATTTAAAATCGTTAGTTTCGTATTGATTGTTGGCTCTTCTCTATTCGCGGATGACACATCCATCGTATAAAAGGGTAGGCTGATCGGAGCACCGACAAACCGACATGAATGACCATAGCAGAACCAGTAAAAATTTTGACCCAAGCACACTACTGACATCTGGCTCCGTGTTCGCGGGAAATATTTAGCTAAGCCATGAACCCGCATACAAAAGTTATGGATTGGTTCGCGTCTGATCTATTCTGAACAAATTATTTTTATCTAGATCAAAAATCCTATGGTTTTGACAGTTCGGAGCACTGCACATTTAATCGGTCTTTTACGATTTTCGGGCATAAGTCAGAATTAAGTGTCATGTCGGTTTGTCGGTGATCGGAGCTCTGACTGTCCTGTCTGAATATTTCTACAGCTGGAGATCCCTATAAACACGGCAAAGACTAGCCTCAGGTCATCATATTTCCACACTCTATATCTACGAGACTTCCCACATAAATGCGAACCATTACTTGACCTTACCAAAAATGGTTAAACATTGTTTATAATCCATAAACTTTAACTGAAATGGTTATGCAACTTTACATGTTTTTTGGAAGTGAACCTTACAAATAATGGGTTGTCAAGAACCATTACCATTCCAAATTCTTGTTTTCTCCATACATTTTTGGGAAGGGAATTATATTAGAATGAGACTGGATTCACACAGTCTATTGGTCAGAGAGGGTCTAGCACAAGAGAGGAGCGGACTGGCTGGTTTTGGGCCAAACGAACTATCAAAGTCAGAGCCAATCGAGCAGCGCCTATCTTGATTGCATTGGCAGTGTTGCTATAAATCACCTACACGACACGAAAATCAATTATTTTATTCATGTGTTTCACTTATACATTTTTGCCAAAACATCAGCCTTATACATTCCATAAGACAAACCACATAGGTCCTATAAGAATGCATAAAAGGTATGTGTGACCGCTTATACATTTCATTTCCAGAACAACATGTGAAAAGGGCATACAAACTTTTTGTAAACAAACCTTCTTATGCCCTTTCCTCGCCACCCATATGACACCAACGCAAACCTTTAACATCATCGGGTAGGGGACACTTTCCCCTTCCCGATGATATTGCTAGTTTGCGTGGGCGACCCTCGGTTGGTGAGAAAAGGGCCTACAAAGGTTTGTTTACAAAAAGCTTGTATGCCCTTTTCACATGTTGTTCTGGATTTGATACATGATCTTCATAAACTTTTTGCAAAGCGTCTGCTTATTAGTTTACTTATAAATTTTATGAATAATCAGCAATAGAAATTTGCCAAAAGGCATAAGGATATCTTGCCAAGGCAGTTTGTCTTGAATCCGCTCCTCTCTTATACTAGATCCTCTCTAATTGGTACTACTCCTAAGTAGACTAGTTTAAAATTTCGACAATTTTCCTCGGCAGACTTTTGAGGTTTTCCACAGAAAAACATGAGGCAAATTTAATCACGGCTGAGCGCTGAGTAAACTAAACTCAAATTTGGGTTCTTCTCATTCGCCGTGTGGTTGATAAGCTTGTACACTGAAAAAAGTTTTCACAAAGTTTCTATTAGGAATGCACATAATATTTTTCCAATATAAAAATTAATTCTTTTTAACTGAATATCACATAACATCATACATTCCATGTGAGTAATCATATAGCTTTCATTGGACACATAAGGTTCATGTGATTTACTGAAGCAATTTCGAATTATGAGATCACATGAAAGTTATGTGAAATTTACATGGATATTTTCCACTGGTTATGTGTTTTATTTTATGAGTGTAATATAGTGGGGGTTATTCCGAGAGTGGAAGTGTGATTCTCTGTCACTAGTGAGGTGACAAAAGACAAGGCAATATTCAATATCGTTTAAAAGTTTATTATTACATTTATCTTACTATTTTACAGTATTTACAGCTATTTGTTAGACGAGGATCCTGTAAAAAAAATAAGAAAGTTAAAATTGAAAGCTGCTACGTAGTGAAAACCAAGCTTACCTTCATCATCCTCTGGGACTTGCTGACTAATTAGTGCCAATGCTTCGAACGTTCTCGGCTCCCAAACTGCTAGATCGGCCAACACTTTCCTGATGGAAATACAAATAATTCAGAGTACAAATCTGCTTAGCGATTATGTCGAACATTCAGAAATACATTTATACCTATTCAGTAAAATTTCATTTCGGTACAATCCGTTCTGGAAATCAGCAACTTGCATTCCGTGCTGTTCGCAGCCCGCGTTTATCCGCTGGGTCCACAGTTCACGCATATCCTGCTTCTTCAGCTCCCGGCCCTTGGTGGCATACGCCAGGGCACGATGCACACTTCGGATTGTAATTCCGTAGCAATTTCGTGGACGACCGATGTAGTGCTGTAATTTTGGTTTCATTTTTGATCAACAAGACTCACTTTTGGTCCCACAGTGCGCGTGCGATGTTTTTCATCGTTGTGTGATTCTGAACTCAGGAAACTTACCGCGGCTAATTTGAACATTTTGCGCTTCCTCCAAAATTCGTCCGGGCCTCGCGAACGGACCAAATTGATCACCGCCGTGAAAACCATTATTGGTGTAGAAAAATTGCTGGAACAATGCAGAAAATCAAGTAAAACTGCACTCGCGAGCGAACGTGCTTTCTCCCGTCCCGGTGGACGATCAAGCAAAACAAAGTTATGTCATCGCGCACGACCCAGGTGGCTAGTTTTGAAAATAAGACCACCGCCTGTGGATCACCCTGCATATGGATGCAGGCTGTCATCTGGCATGCTCGCTCGCACGCAGCTTCTGAAGTAAACATTCCATCACCGCTCGTTTCGTCGCTTCCAATTAGCACTGCGAAGGATTTTTCGCGTGGCTTATTCGATTTGCTTGCTTAAAAAGTGAGTGTCAAGTTGTTAAATTACTTCCTGAACAATGGGTAAGAGACGTTCCAGCAATAAGCAGAATCCGTTCGCCCGGAAGAAGCGCGAATTGAAGGAAAAGGTAGGTTGTGCGAATGGATTTTTCAAAGGTTATGTTCGGAAGTTGAATTGATATTGTTTACCACAGGAATCGGAACCGGCAAGACGTGAGAAACCGTACGAGGATATTGTCCGTCAGAATGAATCGTTTGAGGCATACTACAAACATCAAAACATCTGCAAACCGGAAGAATGGGACGATTTCATGGGGAAGCTGCGATCGAATTTGCCGACGACGTTCAGAATCACCGGTTCCAAGAGCCAAGCTCACGCACTGCTGAAGATTATCAAGGATAAATTTTTCGCCGAATACCACCGCGCGGTAGCCAAGTTCAGAGAGAGTGGTGAGGAGGTACCAGAACCGAACTGTTTGGGATGGTATCCAAATGAGTTTGCCTGGCAGTTGGATCTCTCGCGTAAGGATATTCGTCGGTCGGAAGCATTGTACAAGTTACACAATTTTCTCATTGCGGAAACGAGCTCAGGGAACATCAGCAGACAGGAAGCTGTTTCGATGATACCACCGTTGGTTCTGGGAGTCGAACCCCACCATAAGGTGTTGGATATGTGTGCCGCACCGGGATCTAAAACGGCTCAGCTGATCGAGGCTTTGCATGCCGGAGGGGATAATCTTCCCACCGGGTTCATCATGGCCAATGATATCGATAACAATCGGTGCTACATGTTGGTACATCAAGCAAAACGGCTAAGTTCGCCTTGCTGCCTGGTGACCAATGCCGACAGTTCCAATTTCCCCAATCTTAAGCTCAAAAACAGCGCTGGAGTGTTGGAAACCCTCAAGTATGACCGCATCCTGTGTGATGTTCCTTGCTCTGGAGACGGAACACTGCGTAAGAATCCGGACATTTGGGGAAAGTTTAACCTCGCCCACGCTTGCAACCTACACGGATTGCAATATCGTATCGTGAAACGAGGCGCTGAACTGTTGGAAGTTGGAGGAAAGCTCGTTTATTCCACATGCTCCCTGAATCCGATCGAGAATGAAGCTGTCCTACATTATCTGCTGTCACAAGCGGGAGACGCCTTGGAAATCGTCGAAGCGAGTCATCTGCTTCCATCGTTAAAGCACAGCCCCGGCCTAACCTATTGGGAACCGGCTACGAAGGATATGAAGTTTTACAAAACGATCGATGAAGTACCTGATATGTACCGCACAGTAATCCGTCAGCAAATGTTCCCTCCGGCAGCGGAAGATGCGGCCAAGTACAATCTGGAACGGTGCATTCGCGTTCTACCTCACCAACAGAACACTGGAGGATTTTTCATCGCTTTGCTGGAGAAGAAGAAACCGCTGCCATGGGAATCGGACGCCGCAGAAGCCCCCAAGGAAACGGCCACGAAGAAGGAAGACAGCGAACCACCGCGTAAAAGAGCCAAATACCGGGGCTTCAAGGAGGATCCGTTTGTATTCTTCGATGGGACGGAGGAAATTTTCGCCTCCATCAAGGAATTCTATCAGCTTAATGATGGTAAAATCAAATTCTCTCAAAAGTGTAGGTTACTAACTGGCTGATTCAATTCTGTGTTTCAGATTTCGAACCGAAAAATCTGCTCACCCGTTGCAAGGAGGGCAAAAAGAAGAACATCTACTTCAGTTCGGAAATCCTTCGCAATGTGATTACCGATAACGAGAATCAAATCAAATTCATCAACCTGGGAGTAAAGTCCTTTGCCCGGTGCGACAATCGCAACATGAAGTGCGATTTCCGACTGGCCCAAGAAGGGCTGCCCAGTGTAAACGGCTTCATCGGTCAGGATCGACGACTGCCCATCGGAAAGGAAGATCTGGTCAAGTTGCTTTCGAACAACGATCCAACGCGGCCGCCGGAGATCATTACGCTGACGAAGGAGATCCAGACCAATGTCGAAAAACTTGGCCCGGGCAGTTGCGTGCTGCAGTACCGGGATGACGATCTGGAGCTGAACCTCGTCGGATGGCGGGGAACGAAGAGCCTGAGGGCCTACGTCGATCAGCACGACACGGTTCACATGCTCCGATTGCTGGGCGCTGATGTGTCTAAATACGGTATGTTTTCGCAACTGCAACTAGGGCAAATGACCTATTGTCATCGGGGGGTAAACCAAAATGCTCAATTTTGACCATTTTACCCCCTTTGACGATAATAGGTAAAAGTATTGCCGAGGTCTTTACCTAATTCATAAAAAATGCTTACAAATAATCATCCTTTCCACTCATAGAAAAGAACAAGTTTGAGGACAAAAAAGAGGCGGAATCGGAAAAGGCAGCAGATGATGACGAAGCAAACTATGATGTTAAAGAAGAAAAGATGGAAGAAGAGGATGAAGCAGTAACATGTGCGGAAGAAGTGAAAACGGAAAATGGAGACGTTGTGAAGAAGGAAGAGAAGGATTCGAGTTGAATGACCGGTGCCCAGTGTTCGAAAATACTCACATCTCATGTATGAGTTTATTCGTTTGGGAGTTTTGCCTTTGATTCAAATATGTATTGCTTTATATTTTAAATCACTCCAGTCTTTGCAATGTTGAGTCGAATTCGACTCAATCTTAAGTTACTCTCATCGACCGTGTGTTACACAGTAGTAAGTGCGTGAAATGGCATGACACTCAAGGGTCAATTTGATTTTGTAGATTCACCAGCGAGTTTATTCTTTCAGGAGAGCTCAATGAATGAGATTTGAGGATGATTTTCCGAACATTGCCGGTGCCTAAAGGTTTGTTAGATTGGTGCAGCAACTTCATGTGTATGTAACATTTTAGTTCAATAAACGAAACCTTCCAGAATCAAAATAAATCAAACTATCTATCAGTATTTAGTTCTATTTCATAACCTTTCATGAAGGCACCATGAAATTATCATCACAAATCCACAAAATTGTTCATGGAAATCTTTTTCAGCATTGGGCTGGTTCGTCTCTTACCATCATGGAAATCTTTGAAACTTACTCATCAGGGCTAGTAGCCAGGCCTATTCTGCGCGGCGTGTGAGATGAGGTGACAGTGAAGTAATGGTGAAGTGACAATTGTCACCTCGGGTGAGGTGAGTCTCCGTGCAAATCAAATGGAGAGTCACCTCACGCGAGCTGACAATTGTCACTTCAGTAGTGACAGCGTGTCACCTCACCTCACACGCCGCGCAGAATAGGCCTATACACGGAGAGTCACCTCACACGAGGTGACAATTGTCACCTCACCGGTGACAGAGAGTTACGTGACTCGCAGAATAAGGGGGAGTGAAGTGATAATTCTCGCGTAACATTTGAAAAGGGCCTATGTCCAAAATGTAAACAATCCAGAAAATGAATTGTAAATTTTTCCGCCAGTATTTAATTCCTATATAAATAAATTGAAGTATTTTAGGCATTTATATTGTTCACAATAACAATAGTAACTATATCTCAGTACACAACATCCAAAACATGCGAAACGTTTTCAAAAATACATGAAAATCGATAAAAATTTAATATCACAGTAATAAGCCTTTTTGTGAATCTTTAAATGGTTAGGCCCTTTTTGTTAAGCCGTTGTGCTTGTCATCATAAATTGTAGGCCCTTTGCTAAGCCTTTTCTTAACGTCAAATAAATCATCGGCCCTGCCTCAAGCAGTAGGGCTTAGCTTTGATTTGAAATTTTTCAATCATCGGCCCTTCTACGTCGCTAGGCTTATGAATGGAACCTCATCGAACGAAAAAATATATATGTTAGGCCCGAGGTTAGGCCGTTTTAGCATGAATGATTGGAAAAATTTGGTGGATCGGCCGTTTTTAAAATCAAGTTATTTTTAATGATTTTTATCGATAATGCGGAACATTCCTATACGACTGGTAGCTAATTACCAGTGCTACAGAATGGTATCAAAAATCGGTTTGTTTACATTTTGATCATAGGCCCTATTCAAATGTTACGCGAGAATTGTCATCTCGGGTGAGGTGACTCTCCATTTGATTTGCACGGAGAGTCACCTCACCCGAGGTGACAATTGTCACTTCACAAGTGACAGCGTGTCACCTCACCTCACACGCCGCGCAGAAATTCGGCTCCTATGGGCCAAAGTTGTGTGAACCAAATCAAAAAGGGTGCGAAGAAAGAAAAATGTTTCCGATGCGGAAATGTTGGACATTTTGCCAACGATAAAAGTTGTCCCGCGAAAAAACAAAGTGTGTGATAGCTGTAAGCTAGTGGGACATTTCCGGAAAACGTGAAAAACCAAAATCGAAGGATAAAAGAAGCAAGAAGAATGCTGATGAATGTGGGCGTCTTAGTGGACTACCTGTATAAAGAGAGAGAGAAAGAATTTCCATTTAATTCCACTACCTTATTTGCTTATCCTTGACAGATACGCGTATTTCGTCTACAATGTGCAGACTTCTTCAGTGTCTTGTACTAATACTCGACTAGTCGACAGTCGACTATTAGTACAAGACACTGAAGAAGTCTGCACATTGTAGACGAAATACGCGTATCTGTCAAGGATAAGCAAATAAGGTAGTGGAATTAAATGGAAATTACTAATCTTTCTCTTTCTCTGCATAAGCAAGAAGAAGGTGTGGCAAGTTCAAGATTGCCCCGTAACGTGGGTAGATCACCTTTTCGTGGTACGTTACCGGATGTAAGATCTATCACCGATTCCTAGTCTTGACTACTTAGAACTAGGGGAACAGGAATTTTCAGTAATCAAAGATTCAAGATTCCGAAGACGAGAGGCGGCAGCGAACATAGTGACGACGACGTTCAGCACATTTACGCTACTGGAAATAAACACGATCTGGTGACCTGTTACACAGGTGATGTAAAATTGGATTGGATTGTCGACACCGGCGCTCACGTTAACGTCATCAGCCGAACTACATGGCGTCATCTGAAACAAAAGGGATGTAAATTTAGCGACGTCCAGAAATCACGGAAATTTCTGCGTAACGGTAAGCTAACAGTCCACAAGACTTTCAAAACGGAAATTACCACCTGTTCGAAGCGTGTATTTCACGACGCGTATGTTGTGGATAACGAAACAGGGGCTAATTTGCTTTGCAAGAGTACATCGTTGGATCTGGGAATCTTGGAGATCCATGCAGAGGCGTTTTGTGTGTCAGACATCGAGGAGCCTAAGGTGGGAAACGTGAAGAATATGCAGGTGAAAGTTCAGATTAACAAGGAAGTTGTGCCAATTTAACAACCATGCAGGCGTTTACCGATTCCCCTACAGGACGTTGTTGACGAAAAGCTGAATGATCTATTAAAGCAGGATGTAATAGAACAGGCGCCGTTGAAGATTACATGGGCATCACCTTTGGTAGTCACGCCGAAAGATGGAGGGAAAAGTGTACGCCTGTGTGTTGACATGCGTATAACAAAGTTATAATCCCCGAACGACATCCGTTGCCAACATTTCGACGAAATAATGCCTCATCTAGACGGTTGCAACTATTTTTTGAAGATTGATCTGGTGAAAGCTTTTCACCAAATCGAATTCGATCCAGATTCCCGAGAAATAACAACCTTCGTAACTCCGCTCGCATACTACCGTTACAAGCCTCTAATAGTATGCTCCGCTGAAATATTCCAACGGGAAATTGAACGGATCTTGAAAGGAATTCGAGTATTTATCGACGACATTCTTATATATGCGAAGACGAAGGAAGAACATGACGCCAGAGTCCAACTAGTTATAAAGCGGCTTGACGAACATGGATTGACGGTTAACACCAAGAAGTGTGAGTTTGGAAAGAGGTCCGTAAACTTCATGGGTTACACCCTGTCAAAGCAAGGCATACTGCCAATGAACGATAAGATAAGTGCCATCCAGTCTTTTCGGTATCCGCAAAACTCAGCAGAAATGCGCAGCTTTCTAGGGCTAGTGAACTATGTTGGCAAGTTCATTCCAAATCTCTCAGAAATGTCGAGTACGCTACGGCAGATGACAATCAAGGGTGCCAAATTTGAATGGACTGGAGAACGACGACAGTGCTTCAAGAGAATCAAATCTTCTCTAGCTAACCCTATGCATCTTGGATACTACAGTCCACAGAATCGCACGCTGCTTATCACTGATGCTAGGTGAAATGGTTTGGGAGCCGTCTTGGTGCAGATTATCCACAACGAACCTCGAGTGATTAGTTACGCAAGCAAAAGTTTAACAAATACGGAGCGAAAATACTCGACGCTAGACAGAGGCCTTGACCATTGCTTGGGCGACAGAGCGGTTCCAAATGTACCTAACAGGTCTGGAATTCACAGTCATGACAGACCACAAGCCGTTGTTGAATATCTTCAACGAAACGTCATCCCCAAACAAGAGGCAAGAAAGATGGGTGCTACGGATGCAGTGCTATAGGTATCGCATGATGCACATCCCAGGGAAGATCAACATTGCGGACCCGCTATCACGGGTGCCAGAAGAATTGAGAAGCAAAACGTTTGACAAAGACGCGACAAAGACAGCACTATACGCTATCGCGGAGGTTAGCATGCCGGTAGCAGTGACGATGGACCAGTTGATACAGTGCTCGCAAGAGGATCCGGAGATACAAAAGGTTCGAAAAGCTCTAATTGATGAAAACTGGGAAGGTAATTTGAAACGGTACGCACCGTTCAAGGGTGAACTATGCTTTGCAAATGAAGTACTGCTGAAAATAAATTATGATCAAGATGAATCTTAACAATGGGCCTCCGTTAGCTCAGTCGGTGTATTCTATTCCTAATCCGGTCTAGGAATTTTTCAGGTTGAACAATTTCTTGACTTTTTTTTATCCATTCATTTATTTGGAATGCTCAACCCAAGGATCGGATACATTATACGATCCAACCAACAGCTGTCCCTACTCCAACTGGTTTGCTGAAAGAAAGATTTCTGCCCTGGGGCCTCATTGCATATGTCGAAACGAAGCATTGAGGCTGTGTTCCAAATGATTGGATTATTCATACGAACAGGGGACGATGTTTTGATACAGTGTAAGTAACTTTTGAAAATTTTGTCAACACTCCGAAAATTCTATGTTATTATCCTTCAAACTGATAACGTTCGATGAAATATCGCACGTCGCTCGCGCAAACTGCCGTCGTCCTCGTCTGCGCGCTGTGCTTATAATCATTATTCATAACCGCACAGTTTCTCCAGCTGTCTACATTGTACGTACTATTTACATAATATCATCCATAGGCCGCAGAAAAGAAAAATTAATATGCTCTCGAAGGCAAGGTTTCTCGTGACGAACCTGTCCCCACTGCGGCAGCTCCAGCAAGCATGCCGTGCCGTTCATATTTCCGAAGCAAACGTCCTGGCCACGGAGGTGAACCGGCAATCGCCGGAGTACAAGGTAACGTTATAGGCTTTATTCATAGTCGCTGTTACTAAGCAAGGATTTTTCATTTCGTTCAGGAAAATTACTCGCAGATGCGCGAGTTGGTCGATGAGTTGAGGTCAATCACGGAGAACGTACTCAATGGGGGTGGACCGGAAGCGATCAAGCGGCACACCAGCAAGGGGAAGCTACTGGCCCGGGAACGTATCAACAAATTGATTGATCCCGGTTCACCGTTCCTGGAACTAAGCTCCCTGGCGGGACACGAGATGTACGGTAAGGATGTGATCAATGCTGGCGGAATTGTAACAGGTATTGGCCGGATTCAGGGTGTTGATTGTGTGATCGTTGCCAACGATGCCACGGTGAAGGGTGGAAGTTACTATCCGATCACAGTGAAGAAGCACCTCCGAGCGCAGGAAATAGCCCAGGAGAATAACTTGCCTTGCATTTATCTGGTGGATTCGGGTGGTGCAAATCTTCCACGCCAGGCGGAGGTGTTTCCGGATAAGATGCACTTCGGTAGGATTTTCTACAATCAGGCAAACATGTCGGCGCTAGGAATTCCTCAAATTGCCGTCGTGATGGGATCGTGCACGGCGGGTGGTGCTTACGTTCCGGCGATGGCTGACGAAAGCATTATCGTCAAGAAGCAGGGTACAATCTTCCTGGCGGGTCCCCCATTGGTGAAGGCAGCCACCGGAGAAGTGGTATCGGCCGAGGATCTCGGTGGAGCTGATCTGCACTGTCGCACGTCCGGTGTGACGGACCACTACGCCGTGGACGATGAGCATGCACTGTACCTGGCAAGACAGGTGGTGCAGAATTTGAACCGCCCTAGTTCCTACGATGAGAGTGCCGGTTATTCGACAAAGGCGATGGTAAGAGTGAATTAATTTGAAGGGATAAGTTAACTATCATGGCGTGTATGTTTTACAGATGAACCACGATGGGCTTAGTTTCTTGCCCGATACCGAGCCACCACGTTACGATCCAGCGGAGCTGTATGGGATCGTCGGTGCCAACCTGACTCGATCGTTCGATGTGCGCGAGGTTATTGCTCGTATCTTCGATGGAAGCAAGTTTACCGAGTTCAAAAAATTCTACGGAGAGACGATCGTCTGCGGGTATGCTCGATTGTACGGTCAGCTGGTCGGCGTGATTGGAAACAATGGTGTGCTGTTCTCCGAAAGTGCCCTCAAAGGAGCACACTTTATAGAGCTGTGTACCCAGAAGAAGATTCCGCTGATCTTCCTGCAGAATATTACGGGTTTCATGGTCGGTCGGGATGCCGAAGCAGGTGGAATTGCCAAGAATGGTGCCAAGATGGTCACAGCAGTGGCTTGTGCAAATGTGCCGAAGCTGACGCTGATCATCGGAGGATCATACGGAGCGGGTAACTATGGTATGTGCGGCCGTGCCTACTCACCAAGGTTCATGTACATGTGGCCAAATAGTCGCATCTCGGTGATGGGTGGCTCGCAGGCTGCCGGAGTGCTTGCTCAGATCACCGAAGAGCAGTACAAACGCACCGGGAAGCAGTGGACCGAAGATATCGGTAATAAGATCAAAGAACCGATCGTCCAGCAGTTCGAAAAGGAGGGCTCACCGTACTTCAGTACGGCTCGTCTCTGGGATGACGGTATCATTGATCCAGTGGACACCAGAAAAGTACTCGGGCTGAGTCTGCAAGCTGCCCTGAACAAGCCGATCGGCGATACCAAGTTTGGAATTTTCAGAATGTAACGGGATCCCCGATACGACCGAACGATGATGCATGTCTTCCATTTCGAGGGTGCAACTAAAGTGCATTTATTAGTGATTAAGATTCAAGGTTTCAGACCGAACGCATTTGCAGGGATATAAGTTTTGGAAATTTTATCAATGTTTAGATGACATTTACATAATATATTTCTACCAGAAGTTGCATTTATTGCCAGTTAGCGCTGCTCATAAACGTGATTGGAATAAAGTTTACTACACTATGGAAAATACCTTTAAGGTTATTTGTTTTCTTTTTTGTATCACAATCCAACATGGCATTCTTTTATCTGTTCTATGCACAATCGCGGGCACTGTATTCAATACAGAAACATATAATTCAAAACCCTGCCAAAAATCAAATAAACTACACCTTACTCACTTTGAAATTTCCAACCGATACCTGGCCGGATCCGGCAGCGTTTCGGATGTGAGGTACGCATTCAGATACATAATGTTCATCACAGCAATGCCTGCCTCGGCCAGCGCCTTGTGGTCCCGGGCGCTGATCTTGGCCTTCTTCAAATCGACGAAGCAATGCGTTGCGGTCAGGGCGTGTTCCGAGCTGACGAACGGTGGATCCACATCGATAACGTACCCTCCACCGGATTGGAGCAACCGTATGAACTGCTGCTTCTTGGGAGCCAACAAGAGCACTCGGAAACCGGTGAATACCCCGTCGTGCTTACCCGCCTCACGGGCGATCTTATGGCGCCAGTTGTATGCCGCATTGGCCACTTGCTTGTCCATCGGCTCTAGCGGCGGTAGATCCTTTGCCTCCGGGTTTCCCCAGGCGTACTGTTCTTCCTGGAAAAAGAAAGAATGCTATGCATATTACTTTTAATCACAATTTCAGAAATTCGTTCAACTCACGTTCAAAAAGTACCCCGCCTTGCAGCTATCGTCGATATACTTGGTGCACAGCAACCACTTTCCGGCAGCGATTCCGGACAGAATCTTCTCCCCTCGGTTGGGCTTACTGCACAGAATATGGGTACAAGCGGGATCGTACTCGTTCGGTTTGGTCGAAATATCAGCATCCATCTGCTGGATTTTCTCCATCAGCTCCATTCGGACCTGGTCCGTTACCCCGGACAGAGCAAACACTGGCGCTCCGTTGTAACTCATACGGTCCTTTCCGGCACCGGTGGTGGTCGAGGTAGAGGTAGTGGTGGCTGTAGCCGTAGCTGCAGGAGCTTGGTCATTCCCCAAACCACGAGCCATGCGGAAATCGTAACCCACCGCAGGAGCGTAGGGCCCATCCAACATTTCTGCAGTGGAAGAAAAAGAAAATGGCATTTAAATGGAAATCGGGCGTAATTAGAGAATGAACTAAACAAAGCGTAAGACCGTTCCATTGAAATTACTATTATATTCAAATTAGGGGGACCTAGGAGCATTATGGACACCGTACGTATTTTGCCAAGTTTGACTTGATAGGAATCAACACATCGCTGTGTTATTTACTACACACTTTTGTCACTAATTTAGCACATTGAAACAACAATTTGAAAGTCTGTTACATTGCATTGACGTCGTAAAGCTAGCTGGGCAAAATGGACACCCATACGAAGCAGTTTTTGACACTTTCAAGTCTACACTCCAAAAATTTATCACATATCTAATGGATGAAATCCATGTGCATCAGTTACACGTTGTCGTTTCGGACTTTGTTTAGACCTCCTTTTGTTTTCCTTTCTCAGTGGCACTCTTGCCCCCACCCGACCCTATCGCTTCTAACAACGGCAGAAACAAAAGCGACCGAACTGCTGACAATGAACAAATGTGCCACTATACAATAGTGGTTATCAAATAACAGCCATCGAGTTGAACGCTATGATCACAATAAACATCTAGAGGAAAGAAACAAACACTTACCCGAATCATACCGTGGAAGTTCAGTGTACTGCGTGTCCTCTTTGAATTTCTTCACCTTCTTCGCCGAGTTCTTGTTCATGGCAATCAAATCACTCAACCGTTTCATCTGATCATCTTCAACGACACTGGCAAGCTTTGCCACTGGTTGAATGCAATCTTCTCCACCAGCACCACCACCTACTTCCCCCGGATCTTCTTCCTCTTCATCGTCGTCTTCCACGCGGGATCTTTTCTCACTGCCTTTACTTCCACCGCTTTCATCGTTGGGCTTCAATATGGAAGTTTCGTTGATTGCATTGAACACATCCTTGCTCCGGCTGGATCCAGCCTTGGAAGTGCTCGGTTGGCAGTCTTCCACTTGCTCCGCTGGCTTTTTCTTTTCTTCGAATTCATCCTGCTGAAACGGTTGAAACTGCGTGTTCGAGTACTTGGATTCAATGTAGTCTACGTACTCGTCACCCAGGTTTTCTCTCCAGAAGCGGCGTTTGATCTCGCTTAGCGGTGTACTCTTCCGGCGTTCCTTCTGTTGCTTCGGTTGATAGAATTGTTCCCACACCAGAAGCTTCCGTTTGTGGTACAGATGGTTCTGCTGGTCGGCATCCGGTCGGAATCCATACGGTGTGACCTGTTTGGTCATACACTCCGGCAGGGAAGGTGTTTTCACGTGTCCAGCTTTTCCGGTACCGGGCGTCGCAAGCAGTTCGTTCATTTTCTTTGTCCGGGGGGAAAGGTTCTTCTCCTTTTCCTCGGCTTCTTTGAGGACCTTGTAGAGCGTATTACGGATCGGAGTTTCGAACTCCATTACTCGCTGCGTGACGCTGAGCTGTTCGTATTCGGAAATACTGGTGCTGCTATTGTTTGACGTCGGAGTGGCCGGCGAGTCGATCGCGGTCAGCGCGGAAAGGCGACGATGTCTTATGACCGGCGGTGTTTCAACGAGATGACCCGGATCGAATGGTTTGCGATGATCAATCTGCGATTTAATCAGATCTGCATATTCCCCTAGCTCCTGGGAGTAGACCATACGTTCCTCATAGGTGATCTTTTTCAGTTCCGGTGTAGGCAGTCGCCTAAACTCGTACCTAACCTCGGATGTGTTCCGGGCTTTATCGACGGAAATGTACTTGTAGCTGCCCGGTTGATTTTCCTTGAGTGGATCAGCAGCGGGAGTGGGCTCTGTTGGCTCTGGCATCGGTGATGGCATAAATACTGAGTCAATATCAACGTCGTCAGTAGAGGTCGTCGGAAGGCATGGATTCTTGGTAAAATCTGGCAAATCCGACACCCGACTGCTGCTGATCGATGGATTATCGTCGGTGATGTTCTTCGGAGAGCAGACTGATTTACCTACCAGAAAAGGTTGCTCATTAACCCGTCGCTTTTGCATGAGACATTCGCGGAGCCAATCGGCACTGAGTACGGTTAGATCTGTGAATAATTCGAAATCAGCCATCAGCCTACAATGACGTGGTTTACGACAATAACAAACTTACCCCACTTGATGGCAGCTTCGTACTTGGCTCCGATCGGCTCCTTGCAGATCACAATTGGTGCCGCTTTCCGGACCAAACGATCCTCTACTTTGGCCCCAAGGATCCCACCCAAGGCAATTAGAAAGTTTCGTTCTGCTCCGGAGTACGTGCTGATTACCATAATTTCATCCTCTAACGATTTCGGATCACTTTCACCGTACAAAATCGGCTTGAAGTAGTAATCCAATGGATGGCAAATACCGTCCTGGATCGAGGTCTCCAACCAAATGCAGTTGACCGTTTCCCGACCTTTGACGCCGAAGTCGATTTCCCCTATGCTGCACGTCGGAAGCAAAATGTAATCGACGATATCGGTGTAGTTCTCGTCCACAATCATTCCGCCGCAGTTTTCGCAATCGGAAACGATCTGCAGTGCGTCTTCGTCGGAGAATCCGTAGATGAACAGCGTTTTGCCGAACATAAATTCCGACTGGCTTTCCATTTCAGAATCCTGCATGGTGGATCCACTAGAGGGCGACGGAGCGGTTGGTTGAGTCTTCTTCGGTTCCACAGGCGGAGGCGGTAGTTGAACGGAGGTGTTCTGTTGCATATATTCCTTGAGGACATCATCTTCGAAGCGACTGACTCGGCTAGGACCCGGCTTGGGATCATCCAAGCGGAGTTTAGGCACTTCCGGACGCTTGAAGGTGCTATTCATCGATTCCAAATTCTTCTTACTAGCAGGGGACGGAGGCTCGGGACCATCTTCTCCCGCTATGTCCTTCAGGTTAGGTTGGAAGACCACATCGTCTTCTTCCGGTGCTGGTGCCTTTAGTTCGATCGACCGTACCAACCACTCCAAAGTCATAATATGAGGAGTCAGCTTCTGATTTCGGATTTCCCGGAAGTCCGTCTGGACCTGGTCACCCACGATGATGTGGCTGATGCGATCGCTGAGTTCGTCAAACCGTGTTGCCCCACCGCTGTTGAGGATTTTGTTCAACTTCTCTTTGTCTTCGGTGGCGAAACCACTCAGGTAAATCTGCGACAGGGAGGAATATCTCACATCATAACACAAAACAACTTCAAAACTTCAACCAACTTACCTTACATCCATCCAAGAAAGAACCTGCTTTCTTGGCCAGAGTCAAATTTATCTGGGCCAGTACCTCTCGGTACTTTTTCTTCTGATTTACCACAGGACCTGAATCGCCAGTAGATCCTCTGCCTCCTTTACCCACCGCTTGCGAAGTCGCACTCATCACACTTTCGTTCACGGTCACATTGCGACTGTTTACGTGCGAGATCATCGACAGCTGAGTGCAATCCGGATTAAATTCCCCGGCCACCGTTAACCCAGAGTCGTCCTTCGTTGGAGTGGAAGATTTAATCCCTCGAACTTCATATTTTTCCACCGGCAGGGCATAGCCTACTTCAACGCTGTCTACAATCCAAGCAGGGGTCAAACATTCCTTCTTACATCGAATGGCTCCCTGAAATTTGTCCGAGCCGACACAGCTTTTTTCCAGTATCAAAATGTCCGTTATCGCCGATTTGAACGCTCCGATGTACTTCCCTCCGTTATCTTCGATCAATTGTTTAACCTGATTTCGCTTTTGCGTGGACAAACCCGTCGAAGTAATCGTCAGCGAGTAGAACACCGGAAGTGTATGCTTCCCGAAAACCGTATCCGTTGCGCTGACCATCTTTCGCTGGCTTTGCTCCCACACGTCCTGCACCCAATTTGGATGCATAATCTTTAGTTTGATCTCGGCGGCCTTCTCATACTTGATCGACTTCACCGTCGAGGCCACAAGATGCGTACACTTCGCCGTCAATATATCCAAATAGTAACCTCCCATGTAGAAAACCAACCGGCTGATCTCGCTTTTCTCCTCCGGCTTAAGTCCGGAACTGCAAACCGTGAGATTCCGCATAGACGTCGTCCAAATCGGATAGTTGCCCCGCGGAATCGCTTCGTTATCAGAGAAGCAACTGATCAAACATCGCGGCCCAACTATAACGGCACTCGACTGCGTTCGGATGTGTTCGAATGCCGGGCCGGAGAACTGTTCAAACACGAATACGTGCTTCTTGGTTAATTGTTCCGCTTGCAGCCGGAGGCACTCGCTCTCGTCTAACCAGCTGATGATATCTTCCATGCTGAGATCGCGTACCGACTGAAATTAGACCCACATTTTACCGCCGCTTTCCTTATGAAAGATTAACCCCAGATACTCACACAATAGGCCATATGCATGTCCTCGGTGGCATCTTTGACCTCTTTACCATCCTGCACGACAAAGTACAATTTAATCAGCTGTTTATCGGAACTTGGAGTGCTCATTGTTTTCCCGATCGAATCCTGAAACACACTTGACTGCTGCATAAATCCAAAGAATTCCAAAATTATCACTGCCAAAAATTCTGCAGGAAAATAAAATGAACGAACGGGCGATTTTTGCTTTTGAAATTTGATAGATGCACCGTCGCGATGTGCGGTAAAAGAGGTGAGGAGAAAGGAAACTAGTGGACTCTTTCGTTCTCGCGTCTTCTTATGCAGCAACAGACATGACGTCACGTCTGCTGTTGCATAAGAACACCGTCAGAATGAAAGAGTCCACTAGTTTCCTTTCTCCTCACCTCTTATACCGCACATCGGCACCGTCGCAGTCCATTGGTGGGAAATTATTGTCGGAGTAAGCTCTAACGTTGTCGGAGTAAAAAAAAACATCGTGCCGTGGGGGAGGTTTAAAGATTACAGCACAAATCATTGTTTCGCTTTTTCACAATTCGAGCAGTTTAAAATTACTATTTTAGGCCGTTCGCAATGCTGAGTTTCAAAATTGTTTTAAACTCCTCGACAATTCTATAATTTGAAACTGTCAAAAATAAAACTGCAACACGATCAGCGCAACGCACAGTTCTAAAAGATGTTTGTAATCATCAAGTTCCATAAACTTTACTGTTTTCTATGAAGTTCATAGAGTTGTTTGTGAAGCTCTTCGAAACATCTTTAAATACATACAAAGAAATTTGAAACAGAGTTCCAACTCGCTCAGAAATAAAACAGAATAGTCGAGCAGTTGCAAATTCTGGTGCAAAATAATGCTCGAATAATGAAACTGCAACTCAGCATTGCGAGAGGTGCGTTTCTGTTCTAGTTTCAAATTGAAACAATCCTTATAAAATACAACAGCATTGCGAACGGCCAAACATTGAAATATTGTGTGTGGCAGGATAATTTCTCAAAAAGGGATTATGCCATCTGTTTTCTGATTATGGTCTTACGACTGCGCCCATTGATTAAATCACACGGCGGCTCTTTATCCAGGATTCACTCCTCAATCCACTGCCATAAAATACTATCAAAGTTACACACCTGTGTATAATCCTTATGGGCGGGGTTGCATCGCGCTTATGAGCGGCGCGCTTCGACCGTAACCAAATGAGAATTTAACATAAGCGCGACAACATAAAAAAAAATCAAGTCATCCTAAAAAAAAAACAACATTTTGAAATTGATTTTTTAGTTCGCTGGGGAAATGGCCTATAGTATATACAGTATTCTCTCACTCCAACGCAAAACCACCGACAAACCGGCATGAAACTAAAACTTAACTCTTTATCGAGAATCCATAACGGCGTATTCAAATGTGCAGAGATCCCATCTGTCAAAACCATAGAAATTTGTTATCTAGATAAAAATAATTTGCTCGAAATAGATTAGACACGAACCAACTCATACATTTAGTATGTGTGTTCGTGGCTAGGATACACATTTTTCGCGAACACGGCGGCAGATGTCAGTTTTGTGCTTTGATCAGTAATTTGATGATACTTTGTATGATCATTCATGTCGGTTTGTCGGTGGCAAAACCCCATAAGGGACTGTCAAAATGTGTGTGAACAAACGTCACTTCAGGACTGGTGTCAAGGAGAATTGTTATCCTTTCTACAATCAACAGCAAACACATCGCATTGGAATCAGTTGTGATAGATGTAGTGGTTGCCAGAAAAATTTATTTTTCACTCAACATTTTGACAACTATGTTGACACGCTGAAACAACCTTCCGACACCCAAAAACACCGAAGAAACACAATAAGCACGGACACAAGGTGGCAGAGTGACTTACCCCCTGCCCTTGAAGCATTTTTACAAGCTGAATCGCTGAAAAATATAACTTAAATAATACTACCCTAATAAAAAATAACCATAAACGAACGATAACCCAAATCATTGAACTATTCCACAAATTGTTTGGATGATACCCAGAACACGTCGTTAAGCAAATTAACCATACAATTTTTATTAGGGTAATTTATACTCATAATGAAAATACTTAACACTCCTATTTGTATAAATACAAGACGACCGAAAACAAAAAGTCAACAACAAACACATACACTAACAACCGATCATCAAAAAATAAGTGTTACTTCGATGGAAATTTATAGCTATGGTTTAAAATACTTAAAAATACCTAAGAATACTTACGCGGGATTTACAACTATTTTATTGATATTAGGTATGAAGTTTAGAGTGGGATGCCCCTAGCGTGGTTTGAATATTTGGACAGCAGAAGATCTTCAGCATTATTGTTAAAGTATTGAAAAAATATTCAGAGAAAGTTCTGGAGATCTCTGAACACCTGAAGATCTTTGGAAAAATTAGGAGTAATCTGGTTTCCTGAGGGATGTCGACTCCAAACAATAACAGAATGAGATTTCGTTTCGTCACCTAGTTTTTCCTTTGGTCATCTACCATCTGTCAGATTAGAAGCTCCACAAATACATCCATAGAAATTTTAAACAGAGTTCCATTCGTGTTCCCGCTCAGAAATAAAACAGAATAGTCGGGCAGTGCGTTTCTGTTCTAGTTTCAAATTGAAACAGTCCATATGAAATACAACAGCACTGATAATCTTTAAAAAGTCAGTTGAGACAGCGAGGCAAGATTTTTGCTAATTGGAGAGTAGCATCAGCCTATAAACACCGACAAAACGACATGAATGACCTTTCAAATTACCATGACATTTTCTGATCAAAGCACAAAACAGACATCTGCCGCAGTGTTCACGAAAAATGTTTATCCTAGCTACGAATACGCGTAAAAAATGTATGAGTTGGTTCATGTCTAATCTATCGGGGACAAATTATTTTTATCTAGATTTGAATCGGCCGTTATGGATGCTCGATCAAGAGTTAAGTTTAAGTTTCATGTCGGTATGTCGGTGATATAAAGCTAGGTTCTCAGATTCCTGCACTGTTTTGCGATTTATTAGTAGACTGAACTCAAATTTAGGTTGTTCTCAATGGCCGTGAATGATTGTCTTGATTTTCAGGCGCATATGCCCTTTTTGAAAAACAGGTCGAATTTTCCAGAAGCCAACTCCGACACTACCAACTTGACCGAACTGCGCTCTGTCATTTTCTTTTATTTTCGTCCCACCAGCTGTCAAACAGTCCCGTTCGTTCGCTTCCTTCTGGCTTGTTCTCGTGTTTCTACGGTACGTGCGGTGAAAAATCAAACGTGATCGACTCTTCTTCATCAGAACAGTGCCCAGAAAATTTTTCTCACAAAATGTACGGTTCACAGCAGCCAATTCTCGTTCTGAGTAAGTGCCATTTTGTAGTTTATCGACCGCGGTGGAAGATTTCATGTATTTTGAATAATTTTAGGTCAGAACACGAAGCGTGACAGCGGCCGAAAAGTGCAGCTGGAAAACATCAATGCCGGCAAGGTGAGTCACTTCAGTGCAAGAATTTACGCCTCCACGAACATGATGAGGTTAATTTTGATTTTTTTTTTGTTTCCTTTTGTGTAGACGATTGCCGATCTGATCCGGACATGTTTGGGACCGCAAGCTATGTTGAAGATGTTGATGGATCCAATGGGCGGAATCGTCATGACCAACGACGGAAATGCCATCCTGCGTGAGATCACCGTGCAACATCCGGCCGCGAAGAGTATGATCGAAATTGCCCGAACCCAGGACGAAGAGGTCGGAGATGGAACCACTTCGGTTATTGTCCTGGCTGGGGAGATGTTGGCAGTTGCTGAACAATTTCTGCAGCAGCAAATTCATCCCACAGTGATCATCCGTGCGTATCGGGAAGCCCTGGAGGACATGATCAAACTGTTGGAGAACGACGTCAGTATCCCGTTGGACAAAGCGGACAAGGCAAAGTTGGCCGAAGTGGTGAAGTCTTGTGTTGGCACAAAGTTCATCGGTCGTTGGTCGGACATGGCAGTGAAAATTGCCCTGGATGCAGTTGAGACGGTAATGTTGACCGAAAATGGTCGCACGGAGATCGACATCAAGAAGTACGCCAAGGTCGAGAAGATCCCCGGCGGATCGATCGACGAGTCATGTGTGCTGAAGGGTGTCATGTTGAACAAGGACGTCACGCATCCCAAGATGAGAAGGTAGGATTGAGTGTACAAGAAATTCGGCAGAGTTCTTTTGACTGGTTATATTTTCTATTGTTTTAGATACATCGAGAACCCACGTATTGTTCTGCTGGATTGCCCGCTGGAGTACAAAAAGGGTGAAAGCCAGACAAATGTGGAAATCGTCGGCGATCAAGACTTCACCAAGCTGCTGCAAATCGAAGAAGAACATGTCGCCAAGGCTTGCGCCGACATCATCGCCGTTAAGCCGGACGTCGTGTTCACCGAGAAGGGTGTCTCCGATCTGGCTCAGCACTTCCTGTTGAAGGCTGGTATCACTGCCATCCGTCGACTGCGTAAGACCGATAACAACCGCGTTGCCCGTGCCTGCGGTGCTACCATTGTTAACCGAACGGAGGAACTGACGGAGAAAGATGTCGGAACCGGTGCCGGATTGTTCGAAATCAAGAAAATGGGTGATGAATATTTCTGCTTCGTAACCAAATGCGCTGACCCCAAAGCTTGTACCATTCTGCTGCGAGGTGCTTCCAAGGACGTACTGAACGAAACGGAACGCAATCTTCAGGATGCTCTACATGTTGCGCGGAATTTGATGCTAGAACCAAAATTGCTGGCAGGAGGTGGTGCAGTCGAAATGGCCATCTCGCAAGCACTGACGAACAAGCAAATTCAAGGTCCATACCGTGCCGTTGCCCAAGCTCTGGAAATCATTCCTCGCACGCTGGCTCAGAACTGTGGAGCAAACACGATTCGTACCTTGACGGCACTCCGAGCTAAGCATGCTTCGCATCCGGCTGGTTCCGGTCCGTGTACCTGGGGAATCGATGGCGAATCCGGCCAGATTGTCGACATGAAGGAGAAGGGCATCTGGGAACCATTGTCGGTGAAGCTGCAGGTCTACAAAACTGCTGTGGAAACGGCAATTTTGCTGCTCCGTATCGACGATATCGTGTCCGGTTCGAAGAAGAGGGGAGATGACGGAACTGGTGCTGGTCCAGCCCAGATGGCGCAGGGAATGGAGTAATATTGTAGGTTTTACGTTTCTTATATTCACACACACCAAGTTTACTTATAACTACTCTATGCATACACACACACACCCACAAACTCACATCCAGCTAGTTCTAGCAGGGAAAATCGATTTCCTCAGACCGTAAGTTATTCGATACGTTTCCATTTGAGAAAGCTAACACATTTTTTCCGTCGTCAATAATGCATTAATTTACCTTTAAACATGAGAAGAGCATAACGCTACTCACACTCACATGATGAACATCTGCACCCTCGTGCGCGATGGATACGTTTATCGCTTAATGATCTAATAATGTCGAGAGCGCTTGAAAACAGTGTTGTAGGTTTTGAAGAAAAAAAATACGACTGTGCTTTAAAATATTCATAACGCGAGTTTTCCGTTGATAGTGATGATCACATTTCCCACATTTTCCGGAATTATGCTGTCCTTTAAAGTGATTCAGTAACTCGTGCGTACCTGCAGGCAGAGATGCCCTTTTGAGATAGATAATATAGAATGCTTACGTTAAATCCAGTTGAATTTTCAGTTCACTGATCTTAAAATAGATTCGTGCTATTTGTTTATTTGTTTGTTTATTTGTTATGGTTGCATCAACAGACTAGAAATAGTCCCAATGATGTGTTGTAAAGAAAGTACAGATTATACAGACGACATACATATACTACAGTTACTACAGTTACAAACGAAATTAACTTGGAAAGCATTGTCAAGTTACTAAAAATTTATAAGTCTTAAATTTTACACTTAGCTGTTGGGTATCAAGCGCCTTCGGTCAGCAAAAAAGGCAGAGAATCTTCGGCGAAGCATATTCCGTGTCAAGTGGAAATCGAACATCGACGCTACTCGGTTGAACACTAGCTGCAAGCCGTAAATAGCGCTCCCTATGCTATAATTAGTTCGAAGAAGTGGAAGTCTCAGCATAAGACTGTTGCGTAGTGATCGAGGTTGAACATTAATGTTCACTTGTTGCAGAATTGCTTCGCAGTCAATTCTTCCTTGCAGAGTATCGGCGACGGTTAAGGCTCTGAAAACATCTCTTCGGATACGTAAGGGCTCGATATTGATCAATTGGCAGCGATTCTCGTAGCTTGGAAGACGAAGTGGGTATCTCCAAGGCAGCTTACGGAGCGCGAAGCGAAGAAAACGTCGTTGAACAGATTCAATTCGCTCGGCCCCATTATTGTAGTTCGGGCTCCAGACAGCAGAGCAGTATTTTGTTTTGTATTTTTTTTGTTTATTTGTATTCCTCCATCTGACAAGGTTGTCTTAATGAAGTTGGACAGGGAAAAGCCAAATTGAGTCATGGTGAACTCAAATTGGCATAAAAACCCTGTTTCTTTTCTTAAATTAAGTACATAGAAACAGAAACTAAACATTAACAATTACACAGTTCACAGCAAAAACAATGCAAAATACAATAATTACTACAGTGTAAATTAAAAACGTTAAAATGCGGTCAGTGTCATAAAAGTGTGTCAGCAACAGTGCAGCATCGTCATTGATTGTCAAGTCCTCGTGGAAGGGTCGAAAGCAACCGGAAACAAAAATGAAAACAGGTAGCACAATTCATACAGTCGTCAGGGGATGGACAGTCGCTCACCTGCTCATAATCAATCCATGCACATAACAGCTTTACAATCGATTACTTAGGCGGCGTTGAAAAGTAGCTGCAGAAGCTTCAAAGTCGAAAAGCTCAGATACATCATTGAAGCGAGAGGCCATGAACCGTATTGGGTCGTGTTGCCCGTATCGACTGTTGCGGGATGCCAAATGCAGGAAGTTACGCCGACGAAGGGGGCGTTCAGGTACATAAACGTTGATATCGGCAAGAATGGCAGGTGCATCCACCTCACTAGTTAATACTTTGGCGACAAAAACCGCTTGCATGTCAGACCTTCGTTTCTCCAGTGTTTCAATTCCTAACAGCATGCATCGATGTTCGTAGGGAGGTAGATTTAGATGTTCACGCCAAGGTAGATAACGAAGAGCTAGGCGCACAAATTTTCTTTGAACCGATTCTATACGGTCAACCCATATACTGCTGTACGGACACCAAACTATTACAGCAGATTCAAGGATCGAGCGAACCAAGGCGCAGTACAGTGATTTCAGACACAGAGGGTCACGGAATCCATCGGCAAGTTTAAAGATAAATCCAAGCTGCCTATTCGCTTTTGAAATCACATCAGCATAATGTGTCCGGAGGTTAAGTTCAGAGTCCAATATCACACCAAGGTCTCTAACCTGATTCAGCCGTTCTAGATCATGACCAGCAAGACGATAGTGGAAGATGATCGGATGACGTTTTCTGGAAAACGAAATAGTGTTGCATTTCGTTACACACAGTTCCAGTAAGTTCCGTTTGCTCCAATCCTCAAATGACTCCAACAAACTCTGCAGGTAGGCACAGTCCTCGATGCATGTGATTACCATGTAAATCTTAACATCATCGGCGTAGAAAACACGATTTCCAGATGGTAAAACAAACGATGCATCATTAATGAAAAGCGAAAACAATAGGGGGCCTAGGTTGCTCCCTTGTGGAACTCCGGATACAATCGGGAAGGCAGTTGAATGTGAGGAGCCTAATTTAACTTTCATAGACCGTCCTGACAGGTATGATTCGAACCAACGAACAAAGGCGACGGATACTCCAAATTTCTCGAGTTTTCGAAGCAGAATAGCATGGTTCACTCGGTCGAATGCAGCTTTGAAATCAGTGTATATAGCATCTACTTGCATGCCAGCGTCCATCGATCGAATGCACAATGAAGTGAATTGAGTGAGGTTCGTTGTCACAGATCTTTTTGGAAAAAATCCATGCTGGGCACTAGAGATGTAATTCTTGCTAGCTTCGAACAAGGCATCGTTCACGATTATCTCAAAGAGTTTGGAGCAAGCATTCAACGACGTTATCCCGCGGTAATTGGAAATATCACACTTGTCCCCCTTTTTGTGAATAGGAATCATGACCGAAGTCTTCCACGCGGATGGGAATGTCATTCGCTGTAATGAAATATTAAACAATTTCACTAGCGGCATCAATAAGACACTTGAGCAATTCTTAAGAATGCATGCAGGAATACCATCCGAACCGTATGACGCAGAATGTTTAAGTTTACGTATCGCTTTTTGTACGTGCTCCTCAGTGATTTGGAAAATTCCAAAGTCGAGCCTATCTGATGGTGTGTCATGGATGGCTGCATTTAGATGCGAGGACGAAATCGACATGTCCGAGAAGGCACTCTTGAAGTGATCAGCAAACAGCTCACACTTGTGGGCATCTGTGCTAGCAGAGCGGGCACCGAGATACATAGACGAAGGTAACCCATTTTCCTTACGCTTCGACCGAACAAATGACCAGAAACGTTTGGGATGCAGGCGTAGATTTCTCTGCGTACGGTCTATATAACGAGCATACATTTCGCGGTTAAAGCTAGTGTATTTATTGCTGGCCAGAACAAAACGACGTTTCAGGTGTTGTGATCGATTACGTTTGAATTTCCGAAGAGCAGTACGTCGACGGCGCTTCAATCTACGAAGCCGATTGTTTGTCCATGGAGGTTTCAGAGTAGGACGCTGAAGTGGCACGTGAGCTTCGATAACACGACGTATCTCAGAGTTGAACGACTCAACGATGTCATCCAGATCTCGTTCGTCATCCAAAAATTGCCAATCAATCACAGAAAATGCTTCACTCATCAAGTCATAGTTGACACGGCGGAAATCAAATTGCGGGTTCTCGTGTGGCTGATCAAATCTCACTGGTGACGGCCAAGAAACGGCAACCTCAATAGCGGGATGTGCAGTGTCGAGTTCTACAAGAGATTCAACCGCTTCAGAAATGCTGCAGTTAAGTAGTGCTGTATCGTTCACCAGTACTAAGTCAAGAGTACGAGAACTGGCATTTTTCACAGAGTTGATTTGCGTCAGACCATTGAAACAAAAGGCATCATATAGAGCACCATCCGAAGTTGAAAAACGGGATATACTGGAATCTATATGAAGTCCGCCATCCTCTGAAGCAGTCCAATGCATGTTGGGGTGATTGTAGTCACCGAACTGAAGCGCAAAATCATGAGGTTTCAAGCATGATATTACTGAACTAACAGAATCGCTATGAAGCTGAATGAGGGACAGATCATCTCTACGATCAGGTGGTAGATATAATACTCCAATACTGACTGAACACGTTTGCAATTTGATTTTTACCCACAGCTGTTCCAAAGCATCACTAACTGGAGCTGAGTCGACACAGCAGCACAATCTGGTAGACACTGCAATCAAAACTCCACCGCCGCGCAGCTTTCTACTGTTCAGTGGATTGCGATCAGTCCGAAAAACAGTGAATGATCCACCAAATAGCTGAGTTGATAGGATGCAAGTGTCGAGCCACGTCTCGGTTAGAACTATCACATCATACTCCGAATCTGCCGCAGCGAGATAGAAGGCATCGATCTTCGTTCGGAGTCCACGGACATTTTGATAGAAGATACGAAGTTGAGAAGAAGAATTTGAGGGAGGCATGCCAGTAATCTGTTGAGTCTGAGCGCAGACTGGGTGGATCACAGGACTACCACTTTCAATCTCAGGAACGAGTCGGTTGCGATGAACAAAAACAGCATCTTGCAGGACAAGGTCAGAGGGCCTCGATGCTTCTGGAGAATTACCTGCGACGTGCAGCGGCAACTGGATTGAACATGGTGAGGCTGGTGTGCTGTTATTGTCAATATTAGACCACAATTATCGTGGAGCAGAGACGTAAGATGGTACTCTGGAAACCAAGATATTTACAGGCAGAGAAGTTGTTGTTTGCTGACTGTACTTGCCTACGGTTTGATTTTGGAAGACCCCCTCTCTCAACTCATGCGCAGAGCTGGGACGACTGTTGAACGCTGGCAGCTTAGGCTCGACTGCGATGAGAGGACTAACGTAGATCGTACGAGAGAGCAATAGAGCGATTTCAAGCAGTAAATGTCCGTGAAGTTCTTAGTAATCTTGAAGACAAAGCCAAGCGTTCTGGACGCTTTGTCGACGACATAAGATATATGGTGTGAGTATGTCAGCTTTGAGTCTAGAAAAACGCCTAAGTCTTTCACGCAGTGCACCCGTTCGATATTCGTGCCTAGTAGTTTGTAGTTGAAAATAATCGGTTGTTTCTTGCGTGAGAAAGTAATAACTGTACACTTAGCTGGGTTGACCACCAGTCGGTTTAGACTACACCAGTCAGCAAAGATGTCAATCTGATTTTGGAGAGAACGGCAGTCGTCGAGTGAGCGGATGCGCAGAAAAACTTTCAGATCGTCTGCAAACGATAATCGTGGCTCTGTGTTAACATGGTGAA